GAATACGCCGGCAGCGGGACAGCAGCGGCACGTCTGGGCTGTCCGCTGCCTGCGTGCTCCACGGCTTTGCTCCCCATCTCCCTGGTCTGGGGAGACATGGAGCAAAGCCGCGGAGCACACGGGCAGCGGACAGCCCAGATGCGCCACGGCTGTCCCACTGCCGGCGTCCTCAGAGGCTTTGCTTCCCATCTCCCTGGTCTGCTGGTCTCCAGCAGATCAGGGAGACGGGCAGCAAACCCCGTTCGTAACTGCGGATCCGACATAAGTCGGATCCGCGTAACTCGGGGACTGCCTGTACTTTTTTCACCCTTAACACTAAACGGAGTCTTCTTCTGCTGTTCTCACTTAGGCAAAACTCCACGTACAGGCAGTGGGCCTGTCTCTGATTTCATACAAACAGGGCCTGATCTTCATTTCCACCCATTTTGTACCATTGTAATACCATTGATTTTAATGGAATTAATCCTGATTTCCAGAATTTAAGCCCAATGGGTTATTTCCCTGCATAATCAGTGCAGAACTAGGTCTTTGTTCATCCAATCTATACAGGGAGATAAAACAAAATAAATAAAAAGGGTGGAATTGTTCTTAATTTAGGGGTTACTACCCACTCATTTTCCTAATTTATCATCTCGCTATCACCCACTCATTTTCCTAATTTATCATCTCACGTGATTGACTGATGATACTCAGAACTAATGGTCAGGCTATGTTCAGACTTTGTTTCCAGGAGTTTAAAATGCAAGTGTTAATATTCTCTAAGAAATTCTACACCAGAATATTACAAATACTCATTACTTTCGCTTTATGATGAAATTCCAGATTGTTGGCCTAATTCTGTTCTCATGCTCTGGAAGAAAGCAAAAATAGCTAACTAATGTCGATGACACTAAATGGGTGGAAGAAAATAATTGGTTCTACTAGTCCATAAAATGACATTAGGTTCTAGGGGATTTTATTATCATGAAAGAGTATTGTTTTTTTAAATGGGAGGGGTTTTTAAGGTTATTTGGTTCTATGTTTATGAATAATGCCTGAACCTACTCCCATGAGCACAAGGATTAATGCCTTAGGGCGGGAGTGGGCAATAACCAGCCCATGGGCCAGACATGGTTTGCCAGGATTGGCTCCTGGCGGGCCACCAGATGCTTTATTTACCTGTGCATCCACAAGTATGGCTGCTCACAGCTCCCATAGGCCATGGTTCCTGATTCCTAGCCAATGGGAGCTGCAGGGAGCAGTGGCCCAGCCCACAGCACTTCCCACAGCTCCCCCTTGGCCGAAAACACCATCATGGGTCAGCCATGGTTTTTTTCCTTGGTGTATAGTGTAGACACATTCTTACAGAGTAATAGGAATCCTAGCTTCTTTCCTGTGGAAGCTACAGTCAAAACTCACATTGGTTTCAAATTTCAGGATGGGTTCTTCCGAGAAATTGTCTCATCGTAGAGTGTGAAATACTCTCAACTCCTATTAAAATCAACATGAGTTAAGGATGTCCGATCTCATAATTTTGCCATTAGAAATGGAAACCCCACAACATGACCAAAAATATCTGTGGATTAACCCTTTTCACATGCAGTCACTCTATATCTGACCTTATCCTCCAAGAAAACCTGCACAGCTTCAAAAGACGAGCCTGGGATTTTAAATTCATAATTTAGGTAGACTGTAAATATCATTAACTGCCTAGAGACATTGGATTTATGGTTTATTACAATAATTTATAACCAACTATTCAACTCTCCTCTCTCCTGCCCACAGGATAGATAGGTGTTAATGGGCTCCCTCACCTTTAATGATCCCTTGAAATGTATGTTAATTTATGCTAAATAAAGTGTTCCCTCTTTATTTAGTTGTGGCATGCTGAGTATATTTCCTATATCTGAAGAGCTCTGTATAAACTTGAAAGCTCATCCATCTCACCAACAGAAATTGGTCCAATAGAAGATACTACCTCACCCACCTTGCCCCTTCAGTCTCTCAGGATGCATCTCTGAAATAAGGTCCTACTGAGCCTTTTCAGGCTAACAGGGAAATATTATAATATATTCTGAAATGTATATGTAACCTGCCATTAGGTGGATTTGAACCTGAGACTTCTGAAGAGGAATAGAGGAGCTTCTACGCTCTGAGCTAAAAGCCAGACGTTTCCCAGCCCATGCTGTGGAGGTCTGTTGATCTTAGCTGTTGCTGTGGTAGAAGTGCTACTTGAATTGCTCAGTAACCACACTAGGGCTATGTCTACATTGGCAAGATTTTGCACAAAAGCGGTTGCTTTTGCGCAAAATCTTGCTGCCTGTCTACACTGGCCACGAGTATTTGTGCAAGAACACTGACTTTGTAATGTACAAAATCAGTGGTTCTTGTGCAAATACTCTGACGCTCCCACTCAGGGATAAGCCCTCTTGCACAAATATTCTTGCGCAAGAGGGCCAGTGTAGACAGCAAGGTTAATTTCTTGTGCAAGAAAGCCAGATGGCTAAAATGGCCATCGGAGCTTTCTTGAGCAAGAGAGCATCTACACTGGCACAGATGCTTTGCGCAAAAAAAAATCTTTTGCGCAAAGGCACATGCCAGTATAGACACTTCTCTTGCGCAAATACTTTTAGCTGAAAAACTTTTCAGTTAAAAGTATTTGCACCAAATCATGCCAGTGTAGATGCAGCCTAGGTGTGTGGGTTACATATACATGTAGCAGTTTCTTTAAAACAACTAGCCCAATACACTATGGACATCTTCATTCTTTCCCCAAGGGGAGACTTTTGTTGACTTTTCCATGCTGGTGAGGTGACCAAATACTTTTTTCAGTTCCCACAGTTAGTTTTTTGTCAGGAAAACAGCTGCCCCAATCTTCAGATAATTGTGACACTAAATAACAATCCCAGGAAGATGGAAATCAAGGGTCAAATTCTGCCTTCTGATGGATTTGCACAACAATAGCATCTCTAGGAGAACTGCACACCTGAGACCAGATTTAATCCATTGGTCTTAACTGAGACAGTCATTTCTCCCCTCCCCCCTTCAGCATTGTGAATCATTATCAAAGAAAGGGTTTTGGGCTCAGTTCTTCCCTTGCTTTAGTCCTCTTGTGTCACGTTAGCATTGTTTAAAATTTCTTTTCAGTGAAATTCATTCTGTTTCCAAATACTTTACAAGGCTTGTTACACCACTTCAGTACTGCTAAGCAGAGCAACTACTAAAAGAGAGTAAAACTGTCAGGTACCAATACAACCAAAAAACACAGTATTGCTTACTGAGTCCTATTAGAATTTACAGCAGTTAAAGCACATAAAATACTGCAGACATAGAAATACTAAAAACTCTTGCCACTAATCCCCAATAAAATATATTTTTTCTTTCCTTGCAATAAGAAGCTGTCTGCGCTCCTCTGCTCAGATACCATCCCTCATCGAGTAGTTAAAATAAATCTGCCACAAATTAGGAGTAAAAGTAAAGTCTCCACAGGCTGTACATTAATAAAATAAATGTATATTGCTGAGTTAAGACATTTTTGCAAATTAAAATATAATTCCAGTGAGTTTAGTTTATCCAAGTCCACACACAGTTCTAAAATATTTCCACAAAGCAAGTCAAACTCTGGTCTTACCCTGTGTGTTCTTTATAAACATTTTCGTATTTATTTTATTTCAAGTGAATATTAAAAACTTGCTAATAAAACAAATCTCAGTTCATAAATTAAATATTAGTTCAGTTAAAATATAGTGTATCCTTTCTATACTCCTTAATACTATGGAGCAACTGTAAATACATAATGATACTAATGAAATGCAATTTAACACTTCACATTTCAAAAAGTAGCTGCTAATACAAAGCTGGCCTGGTAAATCTTTTGAGCCCTTTTCTGGAATACAATAAAACCATTTGTCCCCTTAAATAAAGAGAATACTTTGTTTTGCACTTACATTCCAAGATTAAGTCTGGCTGCTCTGGAACTATTGACATTTCAGACTGTCTTTAAACCATTCTTTTCAACTGCACCTCATAAACCTCCACCTCTTTTTCTGCCTCCTCCTCTCAAAGTCACATGAAGTGTAGGCTTTATGTCAGTAACACACCCACCTTAATTTACACATAACCAGTTGAACAAACAACTCTGCCTCTGCCACAGGCACAAAAGGGAACCAGTGAGTTTCTCTGCTCTCTCTGTCTCTCTCTGTACTGTTCAAGTGAGAGAGCATTAAGGATTTGCAATTTCATAAAAAAGCTACCGTATTACACAAAAACCATTTCAGACAATTTTTTATCTTCAAGCACAACCTGTAGTGTTTCTCCATCTATAATATTAACATCGCTCCTTATATTGAAGATTACTCAAGGTGAAACTGTATCAACGTTAGTTATGTGGGGATTTATTTTCACAGACAAAAAATCAGCATTATCACCTTTTTTGCTTATTTATATTTTGTAAGTTTCTCTCATTCTCTGCCACTGCAGTAAAAAATCTCCTAGAAGTGTTTACTGCTGAAAGTAGGTGTTCCGGCACTAACTATATAGTGAAGTAATTTTCCAATGAATCACCTTTAAAGGTGGAGGCCTATAATAAAAACTCTGAAATTTGATGGTACAAGAAAGACCAGTTTATAGTGTGAGCTGATTTGCTGTTTGCTGTTATTACTGCTTGCTGTCAGCTCCAGGAAGTGTCACAAAAAGGGTGTCCACAAAGGCAGATGACAGCAACGGCCAATGAATTTCTCATGCGATAGAACTGCAAGTGATTTAAATGCTTCCACTCTGAGCATTGGTTCTTCTGGTGCCACATGGCATCTGACACACTATCATTTATCACATGTTGAGGGACTGCACTACTAATTCTTGCACTATTAAATGCATGGTATCTAAAAGAGAATATGTGGCAGGACTTTCATTGGCTAGCTGTCAGAAAATACAGGCAGTCCCCGGGTTACGTACAAGACAGGGACTATAGGTTTGTTCTTAAGTTGAATTTGTATGTAAGTTGGAACTGGCTCCAGATTCAGCCGCTGCTGCTGAAACTGACCAGGGGCTGACTACAGGAAGCTGGAGGCAGAATTGCTCTGCCCCCAGCTTCCTAGAATCAACCACTGATCAGTTTCAACAGCGGCTGAATCTTGAGCCTGGGACAGAACAGCTGGGCTGCCAGGTATGTCCCTGCAGGACCAACCCAGCAGCACCCCAGCTGCTCTACCCCAGGGTCCACAACAAAAGCCTGGTCTGCTGGGGGGGGGGCGC